CCAACTTCTCTACCAGCACACACATTTTTTCATACTCTCATCTCTTCACATCAATTTAGGCTTACCCATTTATCCACAGACACAACAAACCCTTTCCTGCAGGGATGATTGAAAAAGTTAATTTTAAAGCCTCCTTCTCCCATATTAGTGTTGGAGAAGCTATCCATGGAGGATAATTGTGCCCTTACCTGCAGATTTTGCTGGATTAGGGAGGTTACACAGGGAGATTGGGATTTCCTGGGGCTATCAGGATTTGAGTAGCCCAGACCTAAGATACTTGAGGCAGCCCATTCATTCAGATTACCTTATTTGAACTTTCCAGGAAAAGGATACTCCGGAGAAGAGGTTTATGTAATTTTCCTGGCAGAAGTACAGAATATATTTATTATTAAATTCTGGAGTTCTTTTTTCCTTTTTAACTTCCCAGGCTACTTTATAACCCCAGGATTCCCTGGTGTCTCCCATCCAAGTACTAAGCAGATCTGACCGAGGTTAGCTTTTTCAAAATCAGCCTTCTTGGTCCCAAAAACAATATCGGTATCTCTGATTATATACAGCATATACCAAAAGTCAGGTCCTATAGTCAGGCCCAAGAGATGATCAATTATATAAATTACATTAAATGTTCAAATTGGTTGCTATTTTCTTCTAAACGCTTCCTTACTCATTTGATGCATGACCTTTGAACATTCCTAAATACAGTCACATTTTCTCTGAAGAAAAAAAAAACACACACAATAAAACATTTTGTGATTGGCCTATAGAATCTGACCTTTGGCACACTCTGTATATGTGAATGAATGTGAGCTTATAGAACAAATAATAGTATACAGTGTGAAGATACAGTATACTGGGTGCTACCTGTTGTCTACAACGAGTACCTAGGAGTTAGAGATATAAACAGTGTTGAAAAAATGTCTTTTCAAAGTGAGAGAACTTCTGTGCTGGGCTAAGGTAATCAGTGGCTTGACTTCAATCCAGTACTGAAACTCCAGAATGCACTGTGCCTCTTGCCCCATGCCTTTCCATATTCAGATGGCAACTGCCTTCTCCACTCTCAACAGAGAGCACCAAATGTAGGAGTATGCGGCTAGTTTATCAACAAACGTGCTCCAATTGAGGGGGAGGGGGCTGTTGT